GGCTTAATTAGATGCCTCGGCCGTGGCTTCCAGCTCTAAGACTCTATCAAAAAGGAAAAAAGAGAAATTGATAAATTCTGTACCTGCTCACATTTTTCCAGACTCAGTCACCACTGGTTCTCCCTCAGTTAGTGGGGTGTCAGCTGATCTATTTAGTGATAACTAAGGGCAGGCCTCTCCCTAGAGGAGAACAATTCTCCTCCCCTCCCTGCTTGTTGTTGAGACCCACAAACTTTGCAGTTGTGAGAAACTTCTTCCATGGCCATGAGGAGAGAGAGAGCATTGGAATTGACATATATAGTGCCTTCTCCTTATCCTACCAGTATCTGAAGCTGGACTGTGAGTTGGGCATGTCAGGGTGCATCCTACTTCCTGGCTCTATCAACTCAGAGTCTGACAAATTCCCATGACAACAACACATGGGCAGCTCTGTCTCACTTCCTTCTCTCCACCCTCCTGCCATCAGATCCTGCCTGCCCTGTCCATCTGTTCACACCTTCCTCCTTTTGCTCAGAATTTTAGTGACACTGACATCTGACAATTTTCGTTTTACTTTTGTGGGAGCCTTTTACCCCTTGCAGAAATCCACATCCTCCTCTCCAGCCCTCAGGCAAGCCCACTGCTGTTGTTTTTCTGAGAACAACTTGCTCCATTGCCTGCCTGCCATCAACTTCACTTCATACTTCTGCTGAAGGAGTCCTGCTTTTGTCCATTATGCCCAGAGGCTGAATGTTAGAGTGTGGCCCCTTCATGCAGCCTAGCGATGGCTCAGGATCACTGACACCCTGGCATTCCTCCCATCTGTCTGGGTGGGCAGTACCTCTCTGCCTATTTGCGTTTCACCCATGTGGCAGGGGACAGGTTTTGAAGAATGCCTCTGTCTCTTTCTACAGAAACCTGTAACTTGTGGCCCAGGCATTCCTTAGACTATCAGAATGGCATATTAGCATAATAGCTAATAGTCAATATACTTATCAGGCATTTACCATGTACTGATACTCATCTAAGCACTTTACACTGATTCATTTAATCCATGTGACATCTTTTAATAAGTTAATAAGTTACTGTCGGTATTCATATTTACCAGATGAGGAAACCGAGGACTAGAGAAGTTAAGTTACTTGCAGCTAAGAGTTAAGTCAAGCAAATGGACCCTAGAGTACTTGCTTTTAAAGCACCACTTTAAAATGTGCTTGCAGTAGATGATGCTAGGATGAAATGAGCAACTGTGCATTTATTTAGGAAGTACCATATGCCAAGACCTCTGCTAGGCATTTTATACAGAGTATCTCTAACAGTCATAACCCTGCAAGTTAAAACAGATTTGGCTCCATCTCACAGGTGAGACAACTGGCGCTCAAGTGTGTTAAGCAATTGGACCAAGATCGCACAGCTCATGCTGTTTCTCTTAACCCTGTTATAAGTCTTTGATCCTATATTCTTTTGGAACCAACTTTGTCCATTTTCTAACAAAGATATATTTTTTCCTACCACTTGGATTCTGAGCTTCCAGCCAGGGCATGTGATTAGGCTCCTTCAAAAAGCATCTGAGATGGGTAAGGGACGTGGAGGCTGATATTTCAGGGCTCTGAGGGGTACAACTCCCTCTAGATCTGAAACCCAGCTTCTAATTCTGTGTGATCACAGCCCCCATCCCAGCTTCCTGCTGAACATCTGTTCCCCTTCCATTCTGTCCTGAGAACAGTGGCAGCTCCCTCATATAGCCCTTATCGTGTCACATTTATTCCCAATGATTCATTTTAATTTTGGTGAATGTTGCATTTTTTTTTATATGCAGGTGTTTTTATGGATTCTCTGAAGCCTGTGTGCAGTGCATGGGTGTTCCCAATCTGGCTCCTGATGTATTTGCTCATGAAAACCAAACCATAATAGTGAAATAGGTCACATTTTGCAGTTCATTTTCTTTTAAGGCAAGTGCTCAAATTGGCCCTGATGACAGCTCTCATTATTACAGACGAAAATGCTTATGATTATGAATCTCTCTCTTTCCTTACTTGGCCCATCTCTACAAATAAGCTGTCCAATATTGGAGCCACTAACTGCCTGTGGCCACTTAAATTTAAGATGATTAAATTTAAATAAAATTAAAAATTCAGTTTCTCTGTTGCATTAGCTGTATCTCAAGTGCTCAGCAGTCACATGGGTTAGCAGCTCCCAAACCGGACAGTGCAGGTAGAGAACATCTTCATCACCACAGGAAGTTCTGTTGGACAGCGCTGTTTTAGGGCCAAGGGACTGGCTCTGTTGTTTTGCTGTTTCCCTAACACCTGCTTGGAACATGGTGACTACCAGGTGAATACACCGATGTCTTCCTGGCTTCAGTCCATGTTTCCTCAAACCACGTGAGTTAATTGGGCTGTCCAGACTGATATGCAAAATCTTCACTAATTGATGACATCATGGGTCACTCTCCTCACTGGCTTCATGGAGGCCACTTAGGCATCACAGCAGAGGGTAGGGTATGCTGGGAGAATCTTCCCATGATTCTGCTCCCACCTCTCTTTATTCTGAGGCTTCTATAATCTCTTGAATTCTACTTTCTGCTGACTTATGATTTTGGCTGTGTATTGAATGAGAAAATGTCTGTCTCTCGCAAACCAACAACAAGAAATAATAAGTCGGAGAGGTCCTCTCATGGCTTTACAGCTGTGCCAAGTATTCTGGAGTCTGTAGGCGTTCAATCTTGCCTTCACTGTCTAAAAGCAGCCACTCTTACTGGCCTCTGAAACACAGCACTGGAATCCACAGCACCCATGGAAGTGCCACTCCAGTGAGGGCTGTGTCATGTGAAGAAGGGCTCTGTGACACAGGACTCCATGTCGGGGCTCTAGGCCCAGTGCCACCAGAGGCCATGAGTTGGCCTCTTGAGTTGTCCTTTTCAGCACAAAATACCCAGGCATTGCAGTTCCCTTTCCTACTGGTAAATAAATGTCAACCTTGTCTTCCTGGCTGGGTTGTAAACCTTGAAGACAGTGTCAGTACCCTTCTTTGACCTCTGAGGACACGTCTGACCCTGAGGCTTAAACCCATCTTAGGAAATCATGGCGAAGCAGTTTTCTAAACACCTCAGATGGGCACTAAATATTTTCCTAAAAGGACAAGAGAGTTGTAGGTTATAACACTTCTAGACTTGACTTCGAAAAGGAGTACTCATTGGCCAGTGTTCTGGAGCATACCACTGATTTTCATATCTGTGAAATGAGATCCCTGTTTCCCTAGAGACGGACAGAGGGCTTTCTGCTCTAGACCCCTGAAACTCATCTCAGATCAAGGACTTTTGCACTATGTTTCTTTGTTTTCTTGAGTAAAAGATTCCATTAAACACTGCTAGGCAAACAGTTGTGTGAAGATGTGGCTGGACTACCCCCATTCAGGTAATGTTCTAAAAGTTTCAATGGAGTGTTGGATATAGGTCTCAAATCCATAATAGAACAACTGGGAAGCACAGGCTCTTCATTTGGGAACCATACATATCCAGCAATGGGTTTTAGAGGAATCCATGAACCTGAAGAATTGTAGGCTACATTTTGGATACATGTGTATATGTGTACTTTTTTCAATAAGGTCACAAAGGAATCCGTGACTCCCAAATATTTAATAACCCTGACTATAAAGATATTTCACTAAGTTGTTTGAGTGTAACTCTTCTATGAGATCAAACAGCAGACTATGAAAGCATTGGTCTTAGGAGTTTCAGAGATCCTCATTAGCTATGTAATTTTTCACTTTGTTTTTTGTGTGAAAATAGAATTGGTTAAAATAAGCCTTCTTTTTTTTTTTTTAATTGTACTTTAGGTTCTGCAGTGCATGTACAGATCATGCAGGATTGTTGCATAGGTACACACATGGCAATGTGGTTTGCTGCCTCCATCCCCCTGTCACCTACATCTGGCATTTCTCCCCATGTTATCCCTCCCCGACCTCCCCCCCCAACCCCCGCTGTCCCTCCCTTGGCACCCCCCAACAGACCCCAGTGTGTGATGCTCCCCTCCCTGTGTCTATGTGTTCCCATTGTTCAACACCCACCCCACCTATAAGTGATAAGATGTGGTGTTTGATTTTCTGTTCTTGTGTCAGTTTACTGAGAATTATGGTTTCCAGATTCATCCATGTACCTACAAAGGACACAAACTCATCATTTCTTATGGCTGCATAGTATTCCATGGTGTATGTGTGCCACGTTTTCCTTGTCCAGTCTATCACCAATGGGCATTTGGGTTGATTCCAGGTCTTTGCTATTGTAAACAGTGCCGTTATGAACATACATGTACATGTGTCTTTATAATAGAAAGATTTATAATCCTTTGGGTATATGCCCAGTAATGGGATTGCTGGGTCAAATGGAATTTCTATTTCTACATCCTTGAGGAAGTGCCACACTGTCTTCCACAATGGTTGAACTAGTTTACACTCCCACCAACAGTGTTAAAGTGTTCCTATTTCTCCACATCCTTTCCAGCATCTGTTGTCTCCAGATTTTTTAATGATTGCCATTCTAACTGGCATGAGGTGGCATCTCAATATGGTTTTGATTTGCATTTCTCTAATAATCAGTGATGATGAGCATTTTTTCATATGTTTGTTGGCCTCATATATGTCTTCTTTTGAAAAGTGTCTTCATATCCTTCTCCAATTTTGGATGGGTTTGTTAATTTTTTTCTTATAAATCTGTTTTAGTTCTTTGTAGATTCTGGATATTAGCCCTTTGTCAGATGGGTAGATTGCAAAAAATTTTCCCCATTCTATTGGTTGCTGGTTCACTTTAATGATTGTTTCTTTTGCTATACAGAAGCTCTGGAGTTTAATTAGGTCCTATTTGTCTATTTTGGCTTTTGTTGCCAATGCCTTTGGTGTTTCAGTCATGAAGTCCTTGCCTGTGCCTATGTCCTGAATGGTTTTGCCTAGGTTTTCTTCTAGGGTTTTTATGATGTTAGGTCTTATGTTTAAGTCTTTAATCCATCTTATTGAATTGTTTACAGACTGGATTTTTTCAACTACCACACGGAGACTTTTTCATTGAGCCTGTGAAGAATCATCCACTGGCTGAGGGAGGGTACCACCCGCACATCATTTATAGAAGGCAGAAAGTTCCAGAAACCAAGGAGCCAACCTGTGGATTAAAGGGTATTGTGATTCAAATGACCTCCTGAGTTGAGGATTCTGTTTTGCTCTTTTGGTTGTTTTATTAAAACATCACCTATTCTTATTCAAGTCTACTATCTCCTCTGTATTCTTTTTTTCAATATCTTCATGACATTCAAATCTCTTCTGTATTCTGTTGCCAGAAACTCTACATTCTTGTTGCTTATATGAACCCTTTCACTTATCAATACTAGAGTCTCTGCATATTCTTAATGAGAAGAAAATAAAAGCATCTTTGCCACATTAACTGATGATCCTCATAAGACGTTTATAATGAATTGTTTTTTAAAACTCATGAATATTCTAGAGCATTCTAGTATCTAAAGTAAAATTTACTTTAATGATTTTTGGTATTAGCAGTGTTATAATACATTAGTGTGGAATATTACAGACAGCTCGTCACATCTGCATATGGAAGGCACATTTAAATGTTTGATGATGCTGATAATAATGTGTGAAGAAAAACTGAAAAAAATATCAACACCTTGTCAGATGATGAATTCAGTGAAGCTTCTTTTGACTGCACAGTGTTGTGTTTGTAGTTTGCTGAGCTGCGTTCCCTGCCCTTAAGCCCCAAGAATGATCTGAATAATTGCTCCTCTTGGCCTTTTCCCAGATAGTTTCAGGTAGTTTTCAGAAGTAAACTGACTTGAGTCATTTCCTTGCACCCCCCACATTCTTCTTAGTGTAGGAGATAGTAAACTATGCATTAGTTTATTGGGATTGGGAATCAGGATGGTTTCTTAAATATGGTATAATTTCTCCATTCTTCAGAGAAGAAAACAATGCTAGAGGGACAGTTAACAAAAGGAAGCCATAATATTATTTACATGTGTTAGGGATTTGGAAACCATGGACCTCAACGGGAAAACAGATGATGAGGGAGTAAGGGAAGGTAGATCCTGGAAAGGGCGGGCGAGGTGGGAGGACTCAGAACTGGAGCTTCGCAAACAGGAGAATGAAAGGGAAAGGGGACAAGCATCTTCTCTACAGACTGCACCCAGCCCCTATGCCAGATAGCAACTTCCCTGGGAGTGCCTTCTATCATCTTGGCAGAGTATGTATGCAATAAGAAGCTTTTGAGTCTAAAATGTTTTCTGAATGCAAAAGCAGACAACTGCTTTAAATTCTTAACTTTAGTAAGCTACTGCACCTTTCTTCTACATTAGATAACTTACTGGCTAAATCCTCTAACAAGTACCAAGAAAAGGGATGAATTGGTTTGAGTGATGAAGGTATCAATACAGGTAAGTTAGTCTCAAGGGGAATATTTAGGGTTCCCTTGTTTGTCATTGATTCAGTCACCTGGGTAATTACCCAGTTGCTATTACACTCTGGGTTATGGGGAACACTTTGTGAATTGATACCTTTTAAATCCCTAGAACATCAATATGGTGGAGTAAGTTACTAGGACGCCAAGTGAACTTGGCATCCTTGCTCTGTGAAATGAGTGAGACTATTCCTCATCTACCCACCTTGAACGCCTCTTTCTCATAACTCCCCTACTAAGGCAGAGTTAATTACAAATGAATTGAGAATAGCAAATATTTAGTCCTGAAGAGAGAAGGGATGGATAGGAAAAGAGTGGGGCTTACAAATATCATGGTCCCCTATTAGGGCATATACAATACCACGGTTACAATATTTGTCACCCCATTTCATGTTATACTTCTAGGTCAACCTTAAGACTTTTCACTTCTAAAGAACCTTCTCTGATTAATGCTACCTTAGAACAATCTTTGTCTTGTGAATTCTCCACCAGATGAAATTTCTCCACCAGATGGAATTTCCACCAGGTAGAATTTCTTCACCTTGGTACTTTGATGTGCTAAGCAAGTATAAGAGAGTATCTGGTAGAGAATTTCACAAAAGAGATACTCTCTTATACTTGCTTAGTACCCCAGAGTGTCAGAATTGAACAGCTCTGCTAGAAGAACCTCTGAGGGTGCCTAATGAAACTTCCTTCCTTCTTTTGCCAAAGAGGTGGTTGTGTCTTAGAGAAAGGAAAGAATTGTCAAAAGCATCAATGTAATTAGTGTCAGAATATAGCCAAGCTCATGAGTCACGGTTCTATTCTACCTGAAGCTATATATACAGCCTCCTGTTTACTTATTATGTCTTTCTTGAGTATAAACCTTGTTTCATCAATCATTGTCACGAGCCCTATTAGAATAGATATTCCCTCCCTAGTCAGTGTAACAGAGGGTTCAGTGCGAAGAATTCAGTAAGCCATCAAAAAGCAACTGACAAAGAGTATTTCATAGCCATGAAGGTGAAACTAGAGTATAGTAGTGTCTAATATATATGTCACTCATGGAAAGAAAAAGGAAACATGCCGTTTCCAAATATTGAGGAAGTATAAACAGTGTGTGATCATCTCTCTTCCTCAGACAATACATGTAATGCAATGTTTAAACAGTAGCTAGAGAATGGCTTATGCCTGTAATCCTAACATTTTGGGAGGCTGAGGCAGGTGGATCACTGGAGTCCTAGAGCTCCAGATCAGCCTGGGAAATGTGGCAAAATTTCATCTCTACAAAAAATACAAAAGGTAGCCGGATGTGGTGGCATGCACCTATAGTCCCAGCTACTCGGGAGGATGAGATGGGAGGATTGCTTGAGCCCAGGAGGCTGAGGCAGCAGTGAGCTGTGATTACAGCACTGCACTCCAGCCTGGGTGACAGAGTGAGACCCTGGGTCACAAAAAGAAAAAAAAAAAGAATTGAAAAGAACACAAACAATGGACAAATATCCCATGCTAATGGATTAGAAGAATTAATATTGTTAAAAATGTCCATATTACCCAAAGCAATTTGCAGGTTCAATGCAATCACTATCAAAATACCAATGCTGTTCTTCACAGAAATAGAAAAAACAATTCTAAAATTTACATGGAACCACAAAAGACCCTGAATAGCCAAAGCAATACTGAACAAAAAGAACAAAGCTGGAGGCGTCACACAATCTGACTCCAAAATATACTGCAAAGGCATAGTAACCTAAACAACATAGAATTGGCATAAAAACAGATGCACAGACCACTGGACAGAATAGAGAACCCAGAAAGAAGTTCATGAATTTATAGTCAACTGATTTTTGCTGGAAATTTTTTAGTTAGGGCAAGAAAATTACTTTTTTCTCTATTAAAAAAAACAGTAGCTAGAGATTCAAGAATAGCTAATGGGCTTGTGAATATTCTTAAACTACAGATGACATTTTAATTTTTAAATCTTGGCATAACAAAATGTTCTTGGCCTTGCTGAACCAGGTAATTGCAGTGTTCTCACACCATATTGTCCTGCAGAGAGGACGGAATCAACTGACAGTAGTGTTGTCAACATTAAAATACATTTTATGCTTCGGTCAGTCGATGTTGCCAGACTGAATTACTGTGACATACATCACCTTTACCATATATAAAGCATTCTGCTTTTGTAATGTTCAAAGAGGAACACCCTAGATATTGAAGAAAGATGTTATTTAAAAGTACCCTCATGCTTCAAGAGAGAAAAGATATCAATTAATTTCTCCTTAAATCTGTCCTTTCACTCATTTTTATTTGCCACATAGACAAGTGCCCAAATGTCATAATATGTCCCTTGTCAATATGGCTTAATTTCTATTTTTCAGGCCTTTCATGCGATGCTATTTTGGTTTTGATTTGATTTGAACTACCTTTTCTTAAGCTGTTAAGCTAGTTTTGTTTGCTTTTCTAAGCCTGATGTTTTATAAGCTCTGCTGAAGTTCTTTTTTCCTCTAAGATCAACTCTCTGGAATCTATGGTAAACAGTGGGAAAATATAGCTTACCTGAATTAAATCCAGGGCAAATTTCAAAACCTCACTTTATCAACAATGACAAGCTCCTTTCTCTAAGGCTTTTTGGTGAGAACACGGTCACACTGGGACTTGAGTGGTGTTAGATGAAAGTCTCTGTGACAACTTTTGTTCCAGAAATCTGGGGAGGAAGAATTGACACTGGTCAGATAAATAAGATGAGAATAGCTACTGGGTCATCTATGGCAGAAAAGGGTCCTGGCAGGTAAGGTCAGAGTCTGGGATTTCATGCAGTAGGATCTAGGCTGGAAATACAGGGTCTGGCTCCTGGCGTGCATGCTTGTGTTCAAAATTTATTCATTCATTCAACAAATATCCACTAGGTTTCTTCTGTGTGCCTGGTTTTTCTTAGGCTCTTGGGTAGAATTGTAAATAGAATATCATTCTTTATCTGAAGCACTGACAGCTTGGACATGAGTAAGTAGAGATCTAGTCCTGGATTTATCTTGATAATATGTAGTAAGACCAAGAAGAGATTTGGAATTTTAATGCATAGTTTGTACTTTTTGCTACTGAATATTAGGTTGCTAGGACTTGTAGTAATTCATTCATCTTCTCTTCCATAGATTCTCCATCTCATGAACCTTTCACAATTGATTTAATCTCATTTGAGTGGATCTGAACTGCTTTCAGGCTTGGGCTATTATACATTATGTTGAAAAGACCCTTCTTGTCCATGTTTCCTAATACAAAGATTTATAGATATTTCATTCCACTCAGTAGTGGAATGAAATTTGTAGCCAATAAGATAAATACATCTATGACTTTAACATATAGTGCAAAATTGGTTAAGACAGTGAATGAGAGCTCCCATTTTCCCATATTCTGTCTAGTACTTGGCATTCTCACTTTTACACGTAGTCTGGTGAATATGAAGTGGTATCTTGTTATGTTTAATGTAAAGTCACACGTATCCTGTTGTGAATTTGGGTCCTAATCTGTGGGCCCTAAATCTATGGCTTGTGGCTATAGATTCTCAATGAATAGTTGTCTCCCCTGGAGACAGAGTCAAGGCCCAATTTGTTTGCTTACTTTGTTTGCTTTTTTCTGGTTTCCTTTTTCATTTAGTCTCTAGACCGACTTTTCACCCTATGGGTCCTAATGTCTTTTTTTCCCCAGAGCAAAATAGTGAGCAGCAGGTGCTCCA